ACAGTAGGAAGATGACTGGGGAAAAAACAAAATTTTACCATATGAACTGACTGCAAAAGGCATAAAACTATAGACCAAAACTATGGGTCCTTTTGTTTCCTTCCGTACAAGCTGTGCAGCTGTGTTTCTATGCTGATGACTGAACGAAGTCAAATGTTCAGTCAAGAATTCGGGGAGGTTGTGGAGTTTGCTCATCATGAGAGCAATTAGTGGAAGACTGTTTGAAGGTATCTGCAGTGGTATCTGAGTGCTTAATTTTAGTAACCAGCTTTGGAAAATCTCAGCCTGCACTTTTACCAATGTGTTTTGAAAACAGCACTGCAATATCCAGGTTACTTGGAAACACTGATGGGCTTTCATGTGGAAAGCTACTGCCTCTCTCATGCTTTCTTCCCCAGGTGTAGAAAGGTTTCTATTAGGAATTCCAAGGGGTTCCTGTCCCTTCTCCACACAATGGGCTCCTGGGAGGTGATGTGGAAGACATGAAGTCACCTTGTCAGCAAACTTCCAGGAGGGGATGGGCACTTGGTTAGGTCTTACGAAAGCACATTCTTCTTAACCTGTTCTGGTGAAGAACAGAAACAGAACTCAAGCAAATGGAGATGCCTTTTCTCTTTGAATGAACGTCACCAGCTGACACCTGCTGTGTGAACAATAGAAATACGCCAAGGCTCAAATACAAACAAATGTAACTGTTTAACTTACAGGAGTTTCTGAATAGGTGTTTGGATTTCATCCTCCTGAGTTAATTATCCCCTGAGGCTTTTTGTCTCTTGTTTTCCCTCCAGCAAATCTGTGACATGAAAACAAAACTGGTTTGAGGATGGAATTTCCCCATCCTCTCCTCATTTCCAGTAGAGGTGCGTACCTGTGCTTTACTCTATTATCAACCACTGGGAGTGTTTCTGATTGCAGAAATAGTCAGAGTGTGATAGGGTGAGGCCCAAGGGACCTGGTAGTGCTGCACCACTGTCAGATCATGCTCCTACCCCAGAGCCCATGTCCACCATCTCCAACCTTAGACCCTCTCCTCCACGAGGTCCCTATGGGATGGGTCTTGATGGGCTCCAAAGCCCTTAAACAAGGTTGCACTTAGCAAAACCTGCTCAAAAGCAAAAAAAGTTATTCAGGACTTGGAAGGAGAAAGAAGAGTCGAGGGAGGGAGTCACGCCTGGCTGGTGAAGTTATGGCCTGCTTTGACTTTGGGGTGAGATCAAACATTAGCAGCAGGCATGCTACTCGTGTGTGTTGTTTTGTTTTAGAGAGCCTTTATTTAAATCGTGGCCACTTCTCTGAAACCTGAGTGCCAAAACAAATAAAAAAGCATTTAAGCAATCCTGCCCAAGCAAGCAAAACAACCAGGCAAAGCGGAGTCTGTTACATGAGGTGAATTATATAAACCCAGGCCAACAGCTGTGAGCAGGTTTCATCAGTGCTGCTGCCATCAGTCGCCATATGGGATGGGGTGTGTGTGACCGTGTGTGCGACCGTGTGTGCGCGCTGCGGTTGTGTGTGCTCATGGTTGTGTGTGCTCATGGTTGTGCGTGCATTCCTTCGGCTCAGCTTTTTCTCCCTCAAGGTATGCGGAGGCAGAACCCAAGGGAGTGAGTGCTGTGAGGAGGAAACTTGTGCAAGCTGAAAGAAATAAACCTTCTGGTCAACTCAAAGAAAGGGAGGCATATCTCTCTGCTAGCTTCTAGCCTGAGGTAAGGCAGTGAATTACGCAATGGTTTCCTGAAGCCCTGCTCCATACGTAGCTGGTGTTTTCCCTGCAGCTGAGTCAGCGAGACCTCCGCATTCAGCTGGCTGGGCTCCAGGATGGCAAGTCTCCCCACCATGTGCCAGGAGAACATTAAAGCACTTATGCAGTTTAGGGGAAAAGTTTGCATTGTTTTTTTGAATTATGTTGAGTGCAAAGGCTCTTTAAAAGGAGAGGGGAAGGAGAAAGGTTGTTTTTCTCACATGTATTATGTTTTAACTCAAACAGACAAAAAAGCTTCCTTGCATGCAGTCGCTATGGCTACAGCTTGGATCACTGTGTGGAAGCTTGTGAGCACGAAAACACTAAGCGGAGATGGGGCAGGGAGCCCGGTGCTCCTTCTTCTTGGAGCGGAGTACGGCCCTCTGCCATATCCTCTGGCTGCAAGTTTGTCCAAAGGCCACCTTTCCATCCCCATCTGATGGGAACGGGAAAATGCTGCAATTGCAGTTTTCCGCCAGCTGGCTTGGCATGAGGAGAACTTCCCAGGTCATGAGCTTGAGAGTGAGAGCAAGGAGGATCTTTGCACCTCACCTCCCTGGAGATGTTATCAGCGCTGTGGTAACAACCGCTCTCTAACTATTCCCCAGAGGCAGGCATGCTGCAGCAAAGAAACTGGGTAACACAGAAGGCTGATGTACCTGCAGGCCCCACACAAACCTTCTGCCTGTGCTGTGAGGGATTCACACCAGTGTGACACCAGTGACCGGCTCAAAGTCTACTGGTACCGCTTAGCTTCAGTTACACTTGGCAGTGTGGTTGCGGTCCTGGAAACGAAGAAAGTCAAGCCGGCTGAGGTTTCCCCCATGTCCAAACCTATATTCTGCTGTACGTTTTGGCTGTAGTTACAGAGTCACAGTGGCTTGAGAAAAAGCCACGGAGGAAACTGAAAATTCTTGAGCCATGACATTACCACATGACTCTGTTGGAGATTCTGTACTGTAACTGTGAGAATAGTTCTGCTGGTTTTAAAAACCCTAACCTCTTAGTAGGATCTCAGTGAAAGTCACATGTGAAAGGTTAGTCCTTGTCTTTACTTTCATGCGTAATTTTCACAATTGCCTAGAAAAGGTCTTCTCACTTAGCACCGCCTCACTTGTTTCCTGTGACTCCCTGAAAATCTGTTTCAGCAGAATTAGTCTAGAAAATGCAATGGTAAACTGTACTGGCAGAAGCAGATGAACAAGATACGATAAACATATTTTAAATGATTGAAAATTTGTCTAAGCTGCTTACTTTCCTAATTATCATGCCTAATTAGTTAGCTTGTTCCATTCAGTCATGCAGCTTTGATAGCCTTACTGTGCCCCACAAGTCTGAGGCCTGAGGTTTGAGCAGGTCTGTCCTAGATATCTAATGAACTGTTAATTTGAAAACAAAAACACTCTTAAACTGCTCTACTAGTAATCACTTTCTAGATTGATATACATGGAGCCAAAAAACCACTGGCTTAAAAAACCTCCAAAACAGATTCCACTAGGACTGAGATGCACAAGTAGGTTACCGTAAGCTCACGGAGGTACCAGTGAAGTTTCTGCAGCTTTGTCTACGAGAAGATAAAACAACGCGTCACTCAGTGAGCAGTTCTGGAGACCACCTCGCCCTTCCCATACCACCTCCAGTGTTAGCTACCAGGCCGATTCATTGCATAGGCTTATTCTCACCCCCCTTTGCCCTGCTTTACGGCAGAAGAGTATAGGCTCTCTGCAGGAGCAAGTAGGGAGGTTGGTAGCCCAGCAGTAAACCTGTTGTTGAGTGAAAAATGCAGATTTCTGTTCGCCTTGGGCAGGAGAGGGATTTAAACCCCAGGTTTCTGTGCAGGGCATGAACGCTCTCACAGAACCGGAGGCGCTGCGCAGATACGGGGACTTGTTTCTTACACAGAACCTGATCTGCTAAATCAGGGTAATTTATGTGACAGATTCTGGGCCTTGTCCAGCCTGCGTTTGCCCAAAAAACCGCTTGGACATGTGCTACCTCCTGCCCTCTTCTGTATTTCTTAATGGCCTTCTCATTCCTGAGGTAGCAGCTGGCAGCAGTTATCTCACGCCCGGGCAGAGCTGGCACACTGCTGCCCACGCCTTAGTTAAAAACAAAAACAGAAGGAAAAACAAGAATAACTTCACGCTAACTAATCTGCACAACCTGCTGTTGTTGGAACTAGGCAGAAGGACACCTCGTTCTGAAAATTAGTATTATCCATGGTTGAATCAGTCACTGTCCACTACTTTCTAAGGTGAGGAGACATCTTCCAGATGACATGATTTACCCAGTGAAAAAAATCTGCTTAAAAGCTTGTTTTATTTAAACCAAGGCATGTTAGGAGGCAGGTAAGTCTCTTCCCTTCCTTTGAAGTGAGCACTGTGCTGGCCAAAAGAAGCCTTTTACTGCAGGGTTACTATGGAGGAAGAGGAGAGCAGTGTAAAACTTGCACCCACCCACTTTCACCAGTAACTTCAAAGAACGGCAGATACAGCACTGTGGAGCTGATTTAAAGTTGACGAACAGCATTATTTTCACTTACTGCTGTTCAAAGGTTTAAACAAGCACAATCCAAGTGTTTTACTCTGTAAAGCAGCACTTAATTGCAGGCACCTTGCCACTATCACCGACCACAGAGCACTGAGGAGCTTAAAAAGCTCTGTACAGAAGGTGAAATTGGGTACACACACCCCAATCACCAAAAGCCATCAATGCTGACATTTCAGGACTCACATAAGTGAGTTTCTTTGCAGTTTGTAAAAACACTTTCTCCTACTCATTACTCAAACCTACTTTCGTGCTTTTTGGCTTTGAAATGACAGCTGGACGCATCTCCCCTTTCAAGGTTACACCCTCCTGACCAAGGTGCTCTACAGCCAGTGGAAGTCCCAAGAAGGCAACACCGCAAGCTCCAAGTTCCTCTGGAGACACTTTCTAGAAGGCCAAGACCAGCAGCCAAATTGAAGAACTCCAAACCAACCACCCCCAACACAGCTGTAGTTCACTTGCACAGGATGCTCTGCACCCCACAGGAAGCGGAGGCTGATCTCAAACCCCTCTGAACACTCAGCTTCAGTGCAGGTCTTGGAACCTCAACCCCAGGCCTCACAGGCACACAAGCACACCTCTGATGTCTCCAGGACTGCAGCAAATCTCCCTTCAGTCATGACAGTGTTTGCGTGAACAGTGTCCTTTATTCATTTGCACATCATCTAACAGAAAGCTGTATGGGAGAATTAAAAGTCCATACTACTGCCACAAAGTGAAAACACTATTTATTTTTATAAAAGGCAATAATTAAAACCAAACCCTACCAGTGTGTACATTGTACACATTTGAATAACACTTACAAGAATGAAGTTTCCATATACAAAGATTACAAGCCCACACTGGTAAAGGACACACACACAAGCACATCGATGACTTCACAGATGCCTCAGCTCCAGATCACAGTACAATTACTCTATGACCACACCTGCATAGCATTTTCATTATTAGCATCCATGCTACTTTATTCCACTACAAACTGTACACAGAAAGCAAGAAGGAGTTTATTCGGAGAGCACATATACTCGCTGAAAAAATTTATTTGCTGGAATCATCTCTCACTCTTCTGTCGCCATCTTCAAGAGATATTCTTTGTCAATTTTAAAGAGCCTCCACCCCTCCTCAGTGGACAGATCAGAGGCACCCCTTCTCTTATAGAACCTGATGGACGGTTCGTTCCACTCCGCAACGAGGAAGTGCATGCTGCTGCAGCGGCACTTCACAGCAACCTGCAAAAGCGCATGACACGACACGTTTCAAACGGCAGACCCAGATGATAAGCCTGGCAAGACTACTCAGCAACTAACTGTGTTATCGCCAGGAGTCATCAAGTTCCTTCTGTCAGTCACTTCAGCACTCATCACAGTTCAACAGCTCTATACAGTGTTTTAGGCTGCCTAGTGACCTGTCATCTCCTTGAACTTTGAGCAGTGCTGAAAGAGCAGCTCTCATGCAGTTAGAAGAGCAAGGATGCTGCCTTACCACACATCCTCACTTCAGCTTATTTAGACTTATCTCTTAGACGTACCTGACTCAAGTTCTTCAGAATTTCTGACCCAATGCCCAGTCCTAAAAAAATACAACAAACCAGAAATTCAGTTTTAATTTTGAAGAAATCCTATAGGAAGCAACTCATCTAATTCTGTAATACGTACCTCTATAATCAGCCATCACATAAAAATCTTCAAGATATAGCAGTTTCCCAATCCATGGATCATAAGTGAAGTAGTACATGGCAAAGCCCACAATGGAGTGTTCTGAAACAAAGGGTGCAACTTAGCTAGTCTGAATTTAAAAGGCAAAAATTTTAACTCTTACATGCACATTTAAACACATCGGTTCTCTTTGTGACATGCAGACATCTGCTACTAGGTTAGAATTAAGAATGAAGTTCGCAAGTAAGCACACAACTGGAAATAAGAGTTCTGACAGACTTGTATCAATCTCAGAGAATGAAGACTGTCCTTGCCATACCCCAAAATCCCCAAAAGTACTATCACAGCAACTGCTGAACTCTTCCTCAAAAGCATACCCTACTGATTTATCAGTATTTACATCCTGGAATACAAGTAAACTTTACACAGCAATTCACAACCTAGGTGACTGCTCCAGCTCTGCTTCCTTAGCAGCCGAAACAGTCTCTCAAACTCTGAAGAACACTATCTTTCAATGTATGTATGTTCTTCAGTAACTACACTGTGCAAAAAAGCACGCTTCCACTAAGAGCATCACACTTTTTACCTTCAGCACCACAAAGTCAAGGTAAGTAAGGCTGCAGCTTCAATTATAATTCTGTAGCTCAATAGGGAAGAGAATCCAACTCTTCCGACAGTGGCCCAGTCAAACCTAAACCTTGGGTATTTTAACTACATCTGCCATAACACTCTGTATGTACTGTAACACTCTGCACATACTGTAAGAGAAGCGTGCAAACAGATTTCTGATCTACTGTGTCTTTGGTAAAGGTTTGGCAATAGCACTTGTCCCTGTAGACCTTACCTCATATTATGATCATCTACTTTATTGTGTAACGGATCTTTTAGTTACCTCCCCGCCCATCCATGTACACGGGGAAGGGCCATGTACATGGCGAAGCTAGAGACTGTAACCTGAAGATTGGGGACAAATTAAAGAAAAAAATGTGATTCAACAGGATTACATAAAGGTAAGTCAGGGTCAAACAAGAAAAGCCATTTAATTAATTGGAGTCAAGTACATTACGTTACACCTGATCTTCCCACGCCTCCAGGATTAGCAACTACTTCAGCAGAGTATCACTATATGTTACTGCATTTAACAGTTAACCTATTCCTCCTACCCCAGTTCACTGGCGGAAGCTTATGTACAACCAATAACATTAAGTGTAAGACGCCTCTTGCACAGTTAGCACCTAAAAATAAGCATCAGAAAGTCTCACCTTCAGGCGACCACTGTTCTTTTGGCACTTCCGCAACCAGACAGTGGTAGAAAGGGTGCTCGCCAAAACCATCCTCGAGCAGTTCTAGAAAAGCACGATAAATCAGCACCTGAGCTACGAATACTGTCACTAGGCTACCAACGCGGCGAGCAGACGCCGCTTCTATACCTTTCTCAGTTAGCACCACTTGATCCTCCATGTCTTCGTATTTCGCTAGTTCCTGGAAGAGAACGACATGTAAGCGGCCTCTCCCC